TCTCTCCAATCAGTTAAGTTGCATGCAATCATTCACATGAATGCAACCTCCCTCATTCAGCTGCATTTTTATTTTTTCCACATTGAACATAAAAAACTACATTTCATCAAACATCTTGCATGATCAGAAGCAGTCTGAATCATGACCCTTTTTTGTTCTTTGCACTACATGTAAACAAAATCTAACAGGTAACTTGGCCTGTGGTGATATTAGTGGCAGGGCTCACGTGTGACTATGTTCCTTTAGAGCTTTGCCCTACTCATATGGCTGAATGTTAACATGGAGTTAATATTAGGTCTAGTGAAAGGACAAGGATTTTTTTTTATTGTGTCAGAAGCAACCCTAGAAACTCCACGTTGCTTCTGTTGTGAGAGAATTGGATGTTTGCAGAGATGTTGCCCAGGGGATGCCCGGATGTTTTACCATCCTGTGGGAGGAATCCATCTTGCGGATTCGAACAGCTGGCTTTCAGATCAGCAGTTCACCTAGCACAAGGGTTTAACCCATTGTGCCACCATGGCTCCTAGGGCAAGGGATGAAAGCAGCGAGCAACAGACAGCCATAAGATCAAGTATTTTCGATAGTATGATAAGGGGTATTTGACTGCTGAAGACCCTGGAGAGCCACTAAGAAATGGAATGGGGTAAAGAATGCTGATTTAGTTGGATGATCATCCTTACTGAAGTCAAGTTTATTTCTTCATAAGTGTTTGTGGCATCCAGGCCACAATCAAATCAAGCTGTTAAGTCTTTATGAAACCACTAAATCAGTAAACTTATCTAAATGGTGGCTTTCCCATGGATTTCCTCTGTTGGAAATTAAAATTGGATTTCATCTTCTGAAATTAAAATAGTAACAATATTATGATGTAGAAAAGCATGACATTACAGAGGAGCAATCTCATTTAACAATTAGTTTCATGCCACAAGTGTGCATAAGGAGAGAACTTGAGAAACCAGAATAGATGAAGCAAACATAGAATCATCAAAGCCTTCTGACAATAAATGTAATATTGGAACTTATCCTTGGAATTATGATCTTCTTTGCTTTATTCAGTACAGTACAGCTCTCCTGGGTTGTATGGCCATGTTCTAGAAGCATTCTCTCCTGTCGTTTTGCCTGCATTTATGGCCTGCATCCTCAGAGGTTGTGAGGTTTGTTGAAAACTGGAAAACACAAAAAACCTACAATAACCCAGTGATTCCGGCCATGAAAGCCTTCAACAATACTCTGAGAGCTTGTTTGGACAATAGCCTAATCCAGCAAGTTTCTCTTCTCTCCCACCACTGCCTCCTCTCTGCACAACACTAAGGCCCCTTCTACACTGCCATTTTTATATGGCAGTGTAAAAAGGGCCTAAGACTACAATATGGCTAGAAACATCTCAGAGAGTCCTGCAAGTGGATGTATAAAGGCATTCATCATGAAATACTGCATGTACCTAAGAATTTTATAGGATGGTATTTTACTCTCGAGAGATATTTGTTCAAGAGTTAATCATGCTTCCTACAGATATGGCACTTCTGAGACACTCTTAAAAATTTTATATATATATATATATATATATATATATATATATATATATATATATATTCTGAGTAATGATACAGCCAGTTGAGTATATGCCTTTAAGTTGCATAAAATTGTATAAAATCTACATACACTAAATATATAACATTTAAAAACAAAACTCCAAATTTAGTGCTAACTACATACTACAAAATACAAAGTAACTACTGAAACATTCAATAACATATGTCAGAAATAGAACTAGAATAATAATTAAAGTAAAAAAATGTAAAAACAAAAGACAGATATATGCAATCAAATTTATTGACTTCCTTCTGTTAGTTTGCCACAATTTGTGTGCCACTTAAAAAATCCCCAGTGGAATATAGAGCTTCCAAGCATACATGATGGTAATTAGAAAAGGGACGATAAACTTTCAGTTATACTGAGCAGCGTTAGATAATAACATTTATTTATGTAATGCCCTTTCCACCAAAGGGCAGAACATCAAATGAATGCAAGCAAAGGCAATAAAAGATAACACTTGAAATATACACAGAACCCCCAACATCCCAGCAGTGATTAGCCATGTTAGTGACTTCAGGTCCAACTCAGCAACTTAATCTAGTGAACCAAAGAGGAAGGTCTTCAACTCCTTATGAGAATGGGTGGGACTGTCCATCTGCCAGAGGTCCAGAGGAAAAATGTTCCACAGATGCAGAGCCAGGTCTTGAAAGGCTTGCAGACCGAGCTTTGCATGTTGAAGGAATAGACAGTAATCTTTTAGCTTTCCTGCAGATCTTGAATTCCTAGATGGTGGATACCATCCTAAATGCCAGGTAAGGTAAAGGTAAAGGTTTTCCCCTAACATTATGCCCCAACTTTGGGGGTTAGTGCTCATCTCCATTGCTAAGCTGAAGAGTCGGTGTTGTCTGAAGACACCTCCAAGGTCATATGGCCGGCATGACTACAAGGAGTGCCGTTACATTACCACCAGAGTGGTACCTATTGATGTACTCACATTTGCATGTTTTCGAACTGCTAGATTGGCAGAAGCTGGGGCTGACAACGGGAGCCCATGCTGCTCCCCGAATTCGAATGTGTGACCTTTTGGTCAACAAGTTTAGCAGCTCAGTGCTTTAACCCACTGCGCCACTGGGGGTCTCTGAGCTGCCAGGTACTGGAGGAGATTAGAGCCCTAAATATAAGAACCAAAAGTCGAACCGGTAGATAAAGGAATAGAAGTTAGACAACAAGCATGGTAATTGCAGAACCATAATGAGAGATTACAGCTATGCTGGGAACTCAACCACAGATTCTTAAAAATCACAACTTCTCCTCTTTCCTCTTATCATTTTATCCACTTTTGCCTTATCCTCTCTAATTGTCGGAGCAAATGACACATTACTGTTCCAAGTATCACATGGAGCGTGGGAGAGGTCGGACTCCCATTTAATACGGCTTTCCTAAAGCCTTGCTTTCAATCTAAAACGGTGCTTTTGGTTTTCTTTTCCTTTTAATCTCTTTTTTGAAGTTTTCATTTTATGGCATGACTTGTTTAAATACATGCATTTGCTTAAATACATACATCAACTGCGCTGTTTAGAAAACTCATCCCCAGTACCCAAACAAAAGATCTCAATACAGTATAATGGAATGAACGCCCAAACACGAATCAAGGAACATGAAAGGCACTGCAGACAACTTCAACCAGAGAAGTCAGCCATAGCAGAGCACTTGATGAACCAACCTGGACACAGCATATTATTTGAGAACACAGAAATGCTGGACCACTCTCACAACCACCATGTCAGACTACACAGAGAAGCAATTAAAACCCACAAGCATGTAGACAATTTCAACAGAAAGGAAGAAACCATGCAAATAAACAAAATCTAGCTACCGGTACTAAAAAAACCTCTAATATTATATCAGTAAATAAAGAACAACACTCAAAAACAGGTGAACTCCAGGCAAGAAACAATCAGGGGCAGCTGAATTACCTCTCAACAAAGGATTCTCCCAGGCAGTAAGGAGCCACACCTTGAAACTGTTAGGCCATTAAATGCTAATCATGATGGCTAACTGAAACATTCACACCTCCAACAGATAAGAGTTCGTTCTCCCACCCTGGGCATTCCACAGATATATAAACCCAATTTTCCTAGTTTCTAACAGACCTCACAATCTTTGAGGATTCCTGCCATAGATGGGCAAAACGTCAGGAGAGAATGCTTCTGGAACATGGCCATACAGCCTGAAAAACTTACAACAACCCAGTGATTCCGGCCATGAAAGCCTTTGACAATACAAAGTCCATCATGTTGAAACATATCAAAATTATCCAGTCTCTGCCAACTAAAATTAAAACTTAGGTTCCTAAGCCAGCTCAAATATATTGGTTTCACAGTAATGCTAAACATTGTCTAGGAGAAAGCATTTTGTAAGCTTTCGCCTGCTTCAGAGTATCCATACTGGATTTCTCAGGATTTGCCAACTGGGGTGAGGATTAGTAGTTATTCAGTTTCTGGGGATTTTTAAGAAATGAGTTGTGGATGGTGGAGTGCTCTCATGCGGTACTCAAAAAGGAATAGCAAGTATAATGTATCTTGTCCCCCCCCCCCCCTCCACTTTAAGAAAATCAGGTTTTCTCGATAAGGAAAACAGCAGATTTATTGCAAGGTAAATTGCTGAGAACTAGCCTACAGAAAAGGGAGAAATGGAGCAGGTGGGAACAAAAATGAGGCAACAGAGAGCAAAAGTTTTGAGGGAAAATATGGGACCTTTGCAGTGGTGGGGGAGTCGATGAAATGAGAACTTAAGATACAGATTGAGCCTCTCTCTTAGGTTATTGCAGCTGGAGGTACCGAATACCTCCTTTCACAATGTTTCACCAAGTAAATGGGCTAGGGTAACTTGTATGTGTCATCAACAGATTCTGACCTTGTGCTTGTTTTAAAAGCCAACTTGGTGCTAGACATGAAATATTAACATGTTTCGTGTCCATATGCTTTTTATGCTGAAGAGTAGAGATAATTAAGTCTTCCGATCTGCTTGCAAATCCTCTGCTAGGCTTCTTCTGCAAAGTCAGCTTTGAACTAGTCGTCCAGGTTCTTCAAGGCTTATTCACTTCCAAAGTTGAGCCTTTGCTCGCTCAAAGCAAGGCATTCTTTGTACTTTACAGGGCAGTTTGCTGAGTATAAGGAAAGTACATTGCCACAACTTCAATATCTGCTTCATTTCACTAGAATATGCTACGTTGAATGCAGTCGATTTAATGGGTTGTCTCTTTCCTCAGAACAGTCAAATTAAATTTAAGGGGGAGAATACGCTTTCATTTCTCCTCTTTTAAGAGGTAGAAGGACTGCTCCACAAAAAGTGTTATGAATAATTTTGTGGCGGGGTGTGTGGGATGGTAAAAGACTGAGCTTTGTTTTTTAAGATTGGTGTGTTGCTGCTAACCTGTTGTTTTCATTTTGTTTCCATTGCAGGTTGCATTTTTGAAGATGTGAAGGAACCTGTGAAGGGAAAATTGCACTGAAGTTAACTTCATCTATAAAGGATTGAGGAGAGAGGACCGTAACTGAGAGAAGAACTTCCTAAACCAAAAAGAAAATTATCTATTCAAATTGCAGCTTATTGACCACCAAACATTGAAACTTTGAAATAATGAAACAGCAGCACTTTGTTTAATGTAGGAGGCCAATTGTTGCAGGACAGGGGTTCAGAGAGCTCTGTAATTTGCGGTGCTGGGGACCTAAGTTTATTGTAAATAATGGCCTACTTAACATTCCCCAAAGAGGGGCCATTTCTCTATTGCAGTTACCTCTGCTTTTTAAAAAAAGCTGATAGTAATTGTTCCATCTCATTGCTCATCGCTTATCCAACCTTTGCTCATCCAACGTTCTGTATTATCCTACGCAGTCTGCCCTCCCGCCTGGATCCACTATTGTTTTAATACATTGTGATGTTTTGGTGCTAAATTTGTAAATACAGTAATTAGTACATAACGTTACTGTGTATTGAACTCCTTTTTCTGTCGATTTGTTTTAAAATATGATGTTTTGGTGCTAAATTTATAAAATCATAACATAACTTGATATTTAACCGGCTTTTCCTTAATCCCTCCTTATTTTACAACATTTTTGCTTATCCAGTGTTCTGCCGGCCTGTTTATGTTGGATAAGCATAGAATATAGTATAGATCAATACCAGTGCACTTCTTGAGGGCACATAGATTCCAAGAGTGTAACCATTTGAGATGTTATGCTACACAAATTCCCTTACTTAGTCATCAATGAATACCAGAGTACTGTCAAGCTGAAATGTGGAATTTTTGAACGAAAATGTCAAGGATATTATGGATGATTGACCTGTGTGAAAATGTGTTTGTGCTGAGAGAAACAAAAATAATACATATCCTTGCTAAATTATTTTATTATCTTTCCTTTTAATTTCCATTTCAGTTGTTAAGGTCTACAGTATATATAGTTACATTAGGGTGGGGTTTTTTTTTAATGTTCAAAAGGTTGCACTGTCTCCAGGCAGAAAATTCCATGGAAACCTATCCTGAAAGTTTTCCATTCTTTCAGCCAAGCACTAAAGCAAAGGAAGCACACACAACAATTCCGTTGCATAGTCGGTGTGGGGCTGTTTTCTCAGATTACCAGACTTGCCCTTTAATAGACTTTGATTTATGTGGCCCTAATAAGAGCAGTGCCAGCAAAGGCCTTTATTTCGGCGTTGAAAAGAAAGCAGATATGGGACAATTTACAGCTTGTGCTTAGCTTTGAAAAAGGTCTTTTTCCAAATGACTGATGAAATATACCTCAGGCGGATGCAAAGGCTGAGTTTATACTGAATTAGGAGAGCTTTAAAGAATAAGAATAAATGACATCTTAAAGGAGAGACCTCAGCTGTAATAGGAGCTCGGTCTTGCAAGCCATTAAAACGCTCTTTTGAGGCTGTGATTTACAAACACAGCTTGACTGTTACGACTTCTGCTGCTTAATTTGCGATGAAAATGGTCCCTTTCTACAAATGGATCCATAGGCAACCTGACATTTAGGCTGCTCTCTGTTTGCTTAAAAGGTGAGATTGGACATACCACTAATTCATGATGTATGAGGAAATCTCAAAATAAATACATCACTTTCCCCTCTTGAAAGAACTAATTCAGTTTCTTGAGAAATTCACAGTGCCTGTTTACAGTACAGAACTAAACTGAGTCAATCCTCTTGTCTCTTATCTTGTATAACTGAACTGTTCTATAGGGAAGTGAACTAGAGCTCTCTACAAGTTTATCAGCAAACTACAGATCCCAGGAGTTCATAGAATGGGGCCCTGACAGTTAGAAGTGGCATGAAACTGTTATATTTGTATAATGCAGACCCACTTTAGGGGGCCGTGGTGGAGCAGCGGGTTAAACCACTGAGCTGCTGAACTTGTTGACTGGAAGGTTGGTGGTTAGAATCCGTGGAATGGGGTGAGCTCCCATTGATAGCCCTAGCTTCTGTCAACCTAGCAATTCAAAAAATGCAAATGTGAGTAGATAAATAGGTACTGCTCCAGCAGGAAGGTAACGGTGCTCCATGCAGTCATGCCAGCCATACAATCTTGGAGGTGTCTATGAACAACACCGGCTCTTCAGCTTAGAAATGGAGATGAGCACCACCCCCCAGAGCTGGACATGACTAAACTTAATGTCAAAGGGAAACCTTTACCTTTAACCCCACTTTTATGCTCCTCTCAAGATCCCAAGTCAAGAATAGTGATGGAATTTGCCTAGCTAAATATATGTTCATACTGTTTTGTAGGTTGAAAAGAAAAGCAGTTGGGTTTAAACATATCCATGTATAAAGCTCTAAAGAGATGTATTGGCATTTGCAAAGCTCTTTTATATAACTCTTGCTAGAAATTTAAGTCTTACCTCACTCTGTGTTCTGATTTTTGCTTGTATGAAAAGAAAATCTGATGAGGCAAAAGTATTTAAAGCTCTCCCACAATTTTCGTGGGTGGAAATTATTCTGACACTTGACAACTTTTGCTCCAAATGTGCCTTCCATAATATATAATTTCATTCAGCAGAGACAGGCAGCAACCCACAAAAGCAAACTCGTTGGCCTTGCCATTACTGTAATGATTCAGTAATGAGACAGCCAAGGAGTTTACATTTGCAGATTGCTGATTGACTCCGGAGAAGGAAACTTTGTTTTGTGAAACATGTGGTTCATGAATAAATTATGTCATATACCTCTCTATCTATGTACAGTTGTCTGTCTTGTCAGTGTACAACGGCATTGAATGTTTGCCGTATATGTGTTCTGTGATCCGCTCTGAGTCCCTTGGGGGTGAGAAGAGCTGCAAATAAAATAAAATCTATAAATACTGCAAATAAAATAAAATCTACATAGGCCACAAAATCCTGGACTGGTCCAAAGCACTGCTATTTTGGATCAGCCCTGGATTCTGCCAGTGTATAAGGACCTCATCACAAAGCTTCATGGATTCGCCACACATCGCGGCAAATCCATGGGGTCCCAGAGGGGTATGTGGAGAACCTCTCGCTCCATGCACACTTGGGACCCCATCACATGGGGGAAGTTTTGCTGCGCAGGTTCTGCCTCTCGTCCTGAAGACAACACAGGAAGCAAATGGCATATGTCGCTTACTTTCCCTATTCCCAACAAACCCGGCCAGAAGTTCACATTGTCGTGTAATGGGCTCTGTCAGGAAAGGTGAGAGCAAGCAGGGAAAGGAACTCATCTGATGAGGTAAATCCCTTCACTCCTGAATAATTGATGTGGGGCAAATTCCTAACCAGCCAGCCAGTAGAACCTGGTTTGGCCCTGCTTAATAGTCACCCTTCCCTTGTGCATGTCAGCAATGGCATCCATCTAACTGGTGTGTGTGTGTGCCATCGGCAAAGGAAGCATCGGATAATGACAATGGTAAGTGCCATCCTCACCTTTCTGTGTCACAAGTGCAGGCATTGGCCCATGTAAACAGCATGACCAGTTCCAAATCAGAACTGGCCCTGTTGCTCACATACACCCAAAGCATAGGATTACTCGGGAGCTAGCTCAAGTTGTGATATTCAGGGCAGCAACCAAAATTCATTTTCCCATACTTTAATAATAAGCAATATTTTTGTAAATTAAGGGATATGAATATTAGAGATCTGTTTAAACATCTTTAGAACTTGAAAGTTTTGTTGTACACATTTTGTTCATTGATTTTTTTTCATGTCATGACTTGAGAAACTGCAAGTCGCTTCTGGTGTGAGAGAATTGGCTGTCTGCAATAAAGTTGCCCAGGGGACACCCAGATGTTTGATGTTCTACCATCCTTGTGGGAGGCTTCCCTCCTGTCCCCGCATGGGGAGCTGGAGCTGATAGAGGTAGCTCAACCTGCTCTCCCCAGATTTGAACTGGTCCTGCCGGCACAAGGGTTTAACCCATTGCGCCACCGGGGTGTTGCTTGATGATGAGTTTTGTTTTCTTTGCTTATTTTTTAAATTATTTTAGGCTACCCAGAGAACTTTGTTATTGAGTGCCATAGAAATGCTGCAGGTAAATAAAAATGAAAAAATAATTTGCATGCAGGACCATGATTAATTTTAGCCGTCACATGGCAGACATTTAGAAAACATTAGAGAGGATAGACATCTCTGCAACTCAGGAAAGTTACTATTAATGAGAATTATGACACAGGCTGGTTTTCCAAAAGATGAGGAAGATAGATAAATCTTCATGGTTGTTTTTTTTTAAAAGAGCATTAAATGTAGAGTATCAGATCCTCTTAAGAAAAAGATGAAAAGCACCTTTGGGTTGCATAAATTGTACAAATTGCCTCCAGTGGAGAAATTGTGCAGGAAGAATAGTTAGATTTTCTTCTTAGAAAATAAGATATGTATATGAACATATATGATTAAATTTATTATTCTGAAGTGATGGAAAAGAATGTATATGCCTTAGGTTTAGGAAATATTAAATTGGTGAGCTGATGAACCTGCTGACTGAAAGGTTGGCAGTTTGAATCCGGGGAGCAGGATGAGCTCCCACTGTTAGGCCTAGCAGTTCAAAAACATGCAAATGTGAGTAGATCAATAGGTGTCAATTCTGCGGGACATTAACGGTGCTCCATGCAGTCATGCTGGCCACATGACCTTGGGAGGTGTCTATGGACAAAGGTGGCTCTTTGGCTTAGAAATGGACCACCACCCCCCAGAGTCGGACACGATTAGACTTAAGGGGAAAACTTTACCTTTACCTTTAAGAAATATTCCTGTAGTAGGAGACAAGATGGAGCCCCCGGTGGCGCAGTGGATTAAAGCACTGAGCTGCTGAGCTTGTTGATCGAAAGGTCGCAGGTTCGATTCCGGGGAGCGGCGTGAGCTTCCGTTGTCAGCCCTAGCTTCTGCCAACCTAGCAGTTCGAAAACATGCAAATGTGAGTAGATTAATAGGTACCGCTCCGGCGGGAAGGTAACGGCGCTCCATGCAGTCATGCCGGCCACATGACCTTGGAGGTGTCTATGGACAACGCTGGCTCTTCGGCTTAGAAATGGAGATGAGCACCACACCCCAGAGTCAGACATGACTGGACTTAATGTCAGGGGACTACCTTTACCTTTTAGGAGACAAGATAGTTGAAACCCCAAAAATCTTTTAGATTTGTTTAAAAAAATAATAAGACAAACTGCAGACAAATCTATGGATTTCCTTGGAAATGGACTGTGCCCTATAGAAGTCATGCATGCTCATTAAGGTATAGATATATCCATTGAATATTTGTAAGACATTTAGGTCTTACAAAACTATTTTTGTATTTTTACCTCTTCACTGCAAACCAGAACAATATTACAGATTTGTGCTACCACTGGCACCGTTTTATTATAATGTCTAATGAGGTCCTCTGTCTCCTTACATACTTTCTATTTCTATTACAATGCTGCTAACCCAAATTGTTCATTCCTAAACCAAAACTTTTCATTATTCAGAGGATAAAATTGGGCAAAACTAAGAATGTTCAATTCATATGAAGGAAAATAGCATCTGATTGAATGTTAAGGTAATCGAACTAAATGGGCTGGTG